TACTAAAGGGGGCTGATTGTGATTATGATGGTGATGCATTTATTCTTGTGAAAGCCGCCAGAATCGTTCGCAATAACATCTTGAATTTCAAGGGATTTCACTTCGATGGTTCATTTCCCTTAGAGTGCCAGCAAGAATCAACACCTGTAAACCTAAAGTTTTTTGTGTCCATGATGTTAAGTGGAGCCAATTTAAAGGATCAACAAGTAGTAGATTCACAGGCATGTCTTTCTATAGCACAGCTGATCTTTTTCAGCTGCAAACAAAGACCATCACGCCATTCCACAAGCTATGAGCCACCACTTCCTTTGTATATAGGGAATAATATTCACATACTCGCCAGATCAAAGAATTTGATCACCAACTGTATAAATTGGGCCTATGTGTGAGTTATGATAGGGTTCTCCAGCTTGAATCCAAACTGGCGACAGCTGTCTGCAATCAGTTTGAGGAACAGGGTGTTGTGTCCCTTCTCAGTTGCGTCACAGTCTTTTCACTGTTGGTGCCTTGAACAACATTGGCCACAACCCCTCAAGTACTACAGCCAAAGATTATTTTCATCGTACTGCTACAGAGGCTTTGGTCCACACTATTAGTGACATGAGTAATCCATTCTTAGATAATGCCCCGGAACAGCTTGTCATGGACACTCGCAATGTTATGGATACAACAGTAGTTGAGACAGTTCACTGTATTGAAGCATTAGGCAAGGAGTAATACAATAATTACCGCAAGAGTGTCATCGTAGACCGAACGCACTTGATTCATGACCCAATTAGGAAAAACTCTCTCCCTCTCTTCAAGTGCCCTTCCCGCAAGAAGTCACCAAAGCAAACGGAAAAATGCTAAAGAACAAAGTAGCTCTTTTCTCAAGACTTTACATCGTAATGCAGCATAGAGAAGGTGATATGAGTATATTCTTCCAGCATGATAATCACTCTTACCCTACCTCATTATCTATCAGGAGCAAAATGCGGTTTTCCAACAAGGCTGACCTTCTCAAGAAGTTGGAACTGAAGAATTAGAAAGACCTGCCCACTAACTTTGATGTTAAAGTACTGGATGGTGCTGCAGTGGTACATCTTCTTTCCATGGGTAATGTTGCCACCTTTGACGAATACGCTGATAATGTATTTGTACCCCACATCTTGCGTCATTTAGAGAATGCTGACAGAGTGGATGTGGTATGGAATACCTATGTTGATAGCAGCATGCAGCATTAAAGAGTCAACTCGAGAAAAGCCTGGTATGGGGATTCATCGGAAAGTGGAAGGTCGGTATAAGATACCAGGAAACTGGAAAGACTTTTTGCGGGACTCTAAAAACAAAGTTTCAATGACAGAATGTCCAAGAGGAAAAGAGATCTTCATTACATCTGGCAGGTCAGTGGTGGGCATAGGTATTAGCCACCAAATACCAGAGTGTGATCATGAAGAAGCAGACACAAGGCTACTTATTCATCTCTTAGATGCATTACAAATTGGTTCCACTACATGCCAAGTACGCACTGTGGATATTGATGTACTGGTGATTCTTATTGGCAAATTGCAACATCTACATAGCCTAAATTCAGCTGTAGACATATGGCATGCTTTCGGTAGTAGAAAACATTTTAGATACTTCCATGTTAACGCCATCTGCACAGCTCTTGGTAAAGACAGGTCTCTAGCACTTCCTGTATTCAACAGTTTCATCGCTGTGACACTACATCAGTCTTCTTCCGAAAAGGAAAGACATTAGCATGGGACGCCTGGAATTCCTTCTCCGATGTGACTCAAGCTTCAACCTACATGGCACTCTATCCCTTTGCATCTGTACATCTACAATCTCCCCCATTTCCAGCTTTTGGAGCGCTATGTGGTTGTGCTATATGACAAGTACAGTAACCTTGAGTCAGTCAATGAGTAAAAAAGAGAGTTATTCTGCCACAAGAGGATGGCATTCCACCTACACAGGACGCTCTGTTGCAACACACAAAACGTGCTGCATACCAGGCTGGTATTTGGACAACCAGCGAATTGCACGAGCAACACGTTCCTTCACAAGATGGATGGGGATGGACACAAAACAATCCATCTTGGATTCCTATTTTGATCACCCTTCCCATTTCCTCCAAAGCCTGTAGTGAACTTGTGAAGTGCAGTTGCAAAAGCCAACGTGGTTGTAGTGGCAGGTGTGGATGCTAAAAGACAAACTGGAAGTGCACAGAACTTTGTAATTGTAACTGCGAGATAAAGTAACCGATTACATAATACTCTCCAACATGATATTCTTAGGTTCCAGATGAGATTTGACTATTGACTATTGTACAATTTGTATCTAGTGCTTTGAACATGACTAGAAAGAACATTAAATCACCTTTGAACTTAAGTCATACTACAAAATGGAAAGTTAACATTTTGAAAGTAATATTTTAAGATATGTATGTGTTACACAAATTGCGTAACGCACTTGAGCGACATTTTGTGAATAAAACTTCTTTAGAAGTACATAATATTGATCATTATTAGGCCATTGAAATGTTTGTTCCATCAGAAGTATACTACCACCTTATAACACCCATCAATTACTAAAATAATGTT